AAAAAAAAAGAGGGGGATTCCTTTGAACTGATTGGTTTAAGCCACAAGGGGTGTACGTGCTAAACTACATGGTTTTCCAACATGTTATTGACCACCATAAACTATTGGGGGTCATCTGGCATTCCAGGTATTTTCCCTGTCTCATGCTGATTGGTGGTTGCTAGGGGGTTGCTATGGGTCCTCACCTAGCCTAACTGAGTCAGGAACACCTGGTGCTGCAGATCTCTCCTGTTATTTGCAGACAAACAATTCAGCAGGGTGGGTATGTGCCCAGGAGTGCTCTGTGGGTTTTTCCCAGGACAAGGGTCACGCCCCCTTCCTTAGGACAGGCCTTGAGGTAGAAGCTGGTTTCTCAAAAACGGAGTCGCATCAGTTTCTCAGACTCTGTCTCAGAGCAGAGAGTTTGGCCAGTGGAGGAGCACACAGGTTTCACCTCCCACCCCAGGCAGGATTCCCAGGGGAGGGAATCCGCCGCTGCACTGAGGCTTCTCCCTGCCAGCCAAAATAACTGGATGGCCCTGATTCTTAGGAATATCTACAATTTCCTTACATGGCAAGAGGGCTATTCCTCCCTGTTCTAGAACCTGGTGCATTCTAAAGATAGGATACCAGGGCCCTTGATAATGCAACTCAAAGTCAGGACAAACCGAGACGCAGCACACTGGACAATCAAGAGAGATGCTATGAGGAAGTCAATCCTGCAGATGCTCCACCCTGAGGCCCAAGGACTGTGGATATGTCTGAAGCCCCTTCCTCCTCCCCCAGCTCCCCTGGATGACACTGAAGGGGAAGAAGGGGCGGGGCCTTTGATGGTGAGAGCAAAGCAATCCAAGGAATGAGGGATCAGGTAAAGAAGAAGAGAGAGAGGAAGGATCCAGGGGGTGGTGAGTGACCCAGGAGAAAACTGCATGAAGCTGCCCCAGAGTCAAAAAGGGAGAGCTAGTAATGGCTTGGTACACTACTGAGGACCCAGCTCCAAACCCTACCCCTGGGGACTGCTTTCCAGAGGCAAGTTGGGGACCTGCCCTCTGGGTCTGGAATGTGCTTGGAAAAGGGCTGCATGAACTAAACTCTACCACTCTGCCTTCTCCGAGTTCAGAGAGAAAGACAGAAGTCATACTTGGCATGGGACCAAACCCACCTCCACGGAACTTCCCCATATTTGTAATATTACTGGATATTCAAACCGGAAGGGAGCTTCAGTGTCATCTGAGCCAATGTTTTTACACTTAAGGACTCTGAGGCCCCAGAAGGTGTGGAGCGAGGTATGGAGACTGTGCATCCTTGGGTAGACTTCAAGATTGCACAAATGACCTTTAAATCTGCTTGAGCCCTCACTCTGGGATCTAAGGCATTTGCTCAAGGCCACCACCCCCACCCAGCTCAGACCACAGGCCCACAGAGCAGCCCACAGTGAACCTCCTCCCTCTTCCTCATACCTACCCTTCAAACTTTTGTGAGAACACCACAGGACATTAGATCATAACTACAGAGTCCAGTCTACCACTCTGTCCCACTCAGGGTCTGAAACACACTAGGCGTCAGTAAGATTTGTTTCAAGAGATGAATTCTGAACCATTGACAATCATACCAAGAGACCTTCTTGAATCCCCAGATTTGCAAATGCTATCATACCAGATACCTCCCCTGTGTAAAAATTAGTTTAAAAGATCATGTACTTGCAACCACTATAGAGACCCCTCAGGAAACTTGGAATGGAACCACCATTTGACCCAGTTATCCCACTCTTTGGTATATAACCAAAGGACTTAAAATCATCATACTACAGGGACACAGCCACATCAATGTTTATAGCAGCTCAATTCACAACAGCCAAACTATGGAACCAACCTGGTGTCCTCCAGTAGAAGAACAGAAAAAGAAAATGAGGTACATATACATAATGGAATATTACTCAGGCCATAAAGAAGAATGGAATTATGGCATTTGTTGGTAAATGTGAGACTATCATGCTAAGTGAAATAAGCCAATCCCCCCCCCAAAAAAAAAGTCCAAATGTTCTCTCTGATCTATGGATGCTAACCCATAATAAGAGAGAGTGGGAAAGAGAAGGATAGAGGTTTACTGGATTAAACAAAAGAAAATGAAGAGAAGGGAGGGGGATGGGAATGGGAAAGGCAGTAGAATGAATTAGACATAACTCTCCTATGTACATAGGTGAATACACAAACAGTGAAACTCCACATCATGTACAACCACAAGAATGGGATCCTAATTAGAATGAGTTATACTTGTGTATGTATGATATGTCAAAACACACTCTACTGTCATGTATGTCTAAAAAGAACACATTTTTTAAAAAGATCCTGCAGTGAAGGAGAGAAAGACCCAACAGTCTGGAGATTGAACTGCGCCCCTCGATGGCTGGGTGATTCCTTCTAGCACACAAAGGAGCAGGACAACCCAAACCATGCGGCAGTGAAATAACAAATGGCTCAAGCTGCAAAATCATGGTAAAACCAACAGAGCTGAGGTTCTCCCTTTGATGTCTTCCCTTCTCTCAGTTCACCATCCCCCACCACACCCCTGCTGTATATCCCCCCACCCCCGGCTGCTCCCTGCTCTAGGACAGGCCCTGGCCACAGCTACAACTCCCTGACCTCTTTCTGCCTAATTGTTCTCAACCTGTTCTTGTTTGTACATGGGATTTTTTTCTTTTTTGCCCAAATACCATTTGTATATCTGAGTCAATCAAATATAGTTTGGCACCTACTATGTGAAGGATGCTGCGTGGAAAATTAGGAATTTAGCAGAGACCCAGGCTCAGCCCCTACACCAAGAAACCTGGGAGTCTGATGAGGAAACATATGAAATAGGTAATTAGGCAAGTCTTCAATTGTAATTATGATAAGGAGAGAAAAGTGCAGAGCATGAAGAAGGCCTAACCTAGTTCACTCCCTCATTTATTCTTGAATATTCCAGGAACACTCTGCCTCAGGGCCTTTGTTCTTGCGATGATAGCTCCTCCCAGCTACCCACCCAGGCTGCTCCCTCGCCTCCCTCATCTCTGACTGCCCTCAACCAATTCTGCAACTAAGGCCATCTCTCCTCTGCCACTTCTTAGGCCCTTCCTAGCTTTATTTCTTTCTACTTAACACCTATCCCTTCCTAAGATGCCCTGAATTTTAGGATTCATTTTGTTGATCAGTCTCCCTGCTCTAGACTGTGAATTCCTTGAGAGCAAGGACTTTGTCTCTTTGGCTCACTTCTGTATTCTCTAATTGCCTTGTGTCCAGTAGGTGCTCAATAAAAACTTGTTGAATGAACAAATCTCTATTGGGTCTCATTTTGCTGATTCCTTGCCATCTTCCAGCCCCTGCAGATCTTTGTAAATCTCAATTCTCAACTCTGAAGCATTAGTCATCCCTCCTTTAACCCCACCTGTCCACCTAAGCTGGGAAGTGTTTATACGTTTGAGAAATATGTTTATGAGTGTATACGTGTGTACACATGTGTATTACTGAGCATCTATTATTGGCTGCACACTGAGCTGAGGGGTACAGGAGATACATGATGGATCCCAACCGAAAGAATATCCAGGCCCATGGAAGGAACACACAGCTCCCAAGAGGAGCTGCCCTAGCCAAGGCCTGTGGGCATGATGGTGGAAGATTCCTCTGTTCACTTTGAGCCCATAGTGTAATCTTGGGGGAAAGTGAGGGAAGAGCCCTGTGGCGCACCCTGAGAAACCCTCCTTCTAGTTGGGAATCCACCCAGTTGTGCATTAATTCAGACCTCATTTCCCATCTTGCCTGTAATAGGTTGATGTCTCATTGAATCCTAGAGAGCCTTTGTCAGGCCTATAGTAACTATCAAGATAATAATAATGTCAGTGAGCAATTTTTTTTATTTTTTTTAAATAGTTATGCATGACAGTAGAATGCATTTATGCACTTTGATATACTATACATAAATGGGGCATATCTTCTCATTTTTCTTTTTTTTTTTTTTTTTTTTTTTTTTTTTTTTTTTGGTGCTGGGGATTGAACCCAGGGC